GCGCTGGGCAGCGACTCCGCTTGGGCGCAGAACGACACGGAGCCCATCGTCCTGGAGGGCAAGTGCCTGGTGGTTTGCGACTCCAACCCGGCTACCGACACCAAGGGCTCGTCCTCCTCCCCTCTGGGTATCTCCGTGCGAGCAGCCAACTCCAAGGTTGCCTTCTCGGCCGTGCGAAGCACCAACCACGAGCCCTCCGAGATGAGCAACAAGACGCGCATCATCTACTTCGACCAGGTGCGCGGCGCGGCCGGGGGGATGCCCCGCGGGATGCGCTCGGGAGAGACCCACAGGTGCCCACGGGGTTCCTCCCTCACCCCTTCCCTTAATTCCGGCCCAAACTGGGGCTGCAGAGGCAGCTGACAGCGGGGACCCCCCGGATCATCCCCGAAACGTCCAGGGAGGTGTGAGCTGGGCGCTGGGAGAGGCTCCGGGAGGGCAGGTCCCCGGGGAAGGGATGTCACACCTGGCAGCAGTTCCTCACTTATCCCCCCGCGATGGGGAGGATGAGAGGGGGAGAGCAGAGCGGGACAGACCCTCCGCACCTGCAGCCCCGGTGAGTCCCCGGGGTGAAGTGGGGACAGAGGTGCGAGGACAGCAGAGCTCGCTGTGCACCGGATAGCTCTGAGTGCTTGGGGACAGCTCTGTGTCATCCTTCTCAGGTTGCTAGAAGCCTGTGGAGGTTTTGAGATGCTTTGGGAAGAAGGAATTTTAAGGGGAGCTCCTTTAACTTTGCCGGAATGCTCACACGATGCAGCTCCGCTCAGCCCATCACTGATACCAACGTGCAGATGCTAACACAGGTTTCACTAGCAGCTCCTGCCCTGGGGCAAGTCCTAAGTCCTTGAGACTGATGGTGGTTCTTTCTTTCTTTCTATATTGTCATGAGCAGTCAATCGTCGTGACAACTGCGGCCAGATCTGTCACACAGCTTAATGCTGGCAGTGTAAATGACCCTCAGTCCATGGGCATTGCTAGTGGCTTTCTAGGGCTGTGCTTGGCATAAAGAGCCTGAAAATATCAATGAAAACTAAAGCATAACTAAGTGGAAAGAAGGAAATATCCAGTGATTGCAGAAGATATGTAGCATAGAGATGATGCACTCATTTAATCTGTTCCCTTCTGTTACTTGTTCCTGTTTAAGCAAACCCAAATGATTATTAGTGCTTACAAACCTGACTGAAGCAGCCAGGGCTCACAGCCAGGTTTTGCTGGGATGTGCCAGGGATTTCAGAAGCTCAGACTGGCTGTAAACTGGGGAATGAACTGTACCATTCATGTTCATCCTTCCTCACAGCCTGGTCCTTTGAGGAAGATGTGTTGGCTTCACCATTGCCTTTTAGGCTTTACCATTTCTTTTTAACCCAAAGCCTTTTGCCACTCCCAGAGTTAGTGTTTTGATATCATTTTTGGGGAATGCTGATCAAAAATGCCATTTCATAGTCTCTAACCGTGTATAGAACAAACCTCTTGAAGGTATGGTAGCCTCAGTTTATTTGTAGTAAAGTTGTACTATAAATATAGCTAAATATCTGTTGTATAAGTTATTCCAACTTAATTGAGAGAATAATGAATCCATCAGCATAGGTGCAAATGAAATGTTTTCCATGGGTGAATGGTTTCTCAAGTTAATAGTCTGGATGTTTATTTAGCACTCAATATTTGTACTAATTCCCTGTATTCTTTTGTTTGTAGATCCTAGTAAACGTGGGCAATTTTTTCACGTTGGAGTCTGTCTTTGTAGCACCAAGAAAAGGAATTTACAGTTTCAATTTTCACGTAATTAAAGTCTATCAGAGCCAAACCATTCAGGTATGTCCATCAAATTTGATGCTAGAATCTTTTGCTTAAGTTGTTTATTTAGAAGAGGATCTTGATTGAACACAGGAGTATTTAACATGCTTCCAAGGGAAAATAGCTTAGTTTGCAGCAACCTGTGGTGAATGAATTGCAACTGAACAGCTGAAATCAGGCAGGAGCCTCACCTCAGATAAACTGCCACAGCTTCACTTCTGTGCCATAAACCTGCATACCTGGGGTGAAATAAAGTATTCAATAGAATGAATGATCCAAGAGTGAAAAAGAGCTCTGAATTTCACTTAGGTCTATGAATACTATTGAAGAGTCATAGTTTGGTGCAGGATACACTCTCTGTCTGGAGCACAGGAGTTCTGGGGATCCACATCAGATTTGTTTTGGTAACATTTTGACCTGGCTGATGTCAGGTTGCTGGTTCTGACCTCAGTCTGCTGTGGGCCAGGGTTAGTCATAGAATAATAGAATTTAAGGGTTGGAATGGACCTTACAGATCATCTATCATCTAGTCCCAACCCCCTTCTCTGGGCAGGGACACATCCTCACCAGAGCAGGTTGCTCAAGGCTCATCCAACCTGGCCTTGAACACCACCAGGGTTGGAGCAGCCACAGCCTCCCTGGGCAACCTGTGCCAGTGTCTCACCACCCTTAGAGTAAAACACTTTTTTCTCACATCCAGCCTAGACTTTGCCTCCTTCAGTTTGAACCTGTTACCCCTTGTCCTACCATTGCAGTTCCTATGGTCTGTCTGTCCTGTAACTCCATCAAAATGTTATACCTCTACTGGGATGTTTCCTAGGAGCCTTTATAGCAGTTTAAACTTTTTTTCACCATCTAATTTATAAGAGATATGTCATATATTAGTAAAACAAGGAGTAATTCTGCTCTTTCTTCTGTAGCTTAATTGCAGCTGAACTCACTAATTAAATACAAGTATGTACCAGCTTAGAGGGAAAGCCTCTAAATTCCTGAACATCCCCTTGCTGAGCCAACAGCAAATTCCTTCAAGTGCATTCCTTAATCTTCATGCCAGGTGTGTGACATGCATCCTGGCATTCTAGGTCTGGAGTAACATCTGTGGCTTGCCTTGTTTCAACCCATGAGACCATCAGATCCATGTGTTGCTTTCCCTGCTCTGTCTTGCTCCTGGGATATGGTTTTCAGTGTGCAAGTCTGAGATGAAACACATTTCTGCAGGAGTGATCAGACATTTCTTTGTGGCTGCTCTGGGTTGCTGGTAAAGTTCCTGGGCAAAGTGTGAATTGTGGAGATGGCAGAGAACTGGTGCAAGGCACAGTCACATCCCTGCTGAAACTCACCTTCAGTTTCCAACATGAGCTCATGTTTTCATTCAGGCCAATGATAGAAGCCTTAAATGTAATCTTGACCTCATGGAAATCTCTCTAATGAGTTTATAAATTTATAAATTGTTTCCCTCTCTTAAATGCTGAAGGTTGAAATGGCTTCAAATAACTGCCTGTCAGCTTCTTTGGGTTTAGATAGTGTCCTGGTTTTAGCCAAGGATGTTGGCATCTCTGGGTGCCCAAGTTTCTTGTAAATGTCTTTTTTTTGCATTGCTCTTGCCTAAAATAATAATCCTAAACAGCCCCTGAGTTAGACAAAGTGATACAAACTGAGCTGATACCTCACCAGCTGCTGCTCCATCCCACAGAGCATCAATGTGCTTGTCCACCCCAAAGAAGTGTAATTATTAGTCTAAACAACCCCAAAAGTAACGAAGATTGGGACTTTAGCAGAGCTCTTCCCCTGTAGTTAATATTCAGAGGTAGTTCTTGATGTTTTGCTGTTATTTGGAGCTTTTCAGTGGTTTTTCTCTTGCAGGTCAATCTGATGCTGAATGGAAAGCCAGTGATCTCTGCTTTTGCTGGGGACAAGGATGTCACACGTGAAGCTGCCACTAATGGAGTCCTGCTCTACCTGGACAAGGAGGATAAGGTTTACCTGAAGCTGGAGAAAGGTAATCTGGTCGGTGGCTGGCAGTACTCTACATTTTCTGGCTTTCTGGTCTTTCCCCTGTAAAGTCAATTTTCCTGTGACATTCATCCAGGTGTGGACTCATCATTCTTACATGAAGATCATTTTAGCCTCATGGGATTGATGTTTCTTTCTTGGTTTTTCATGGGTGGCTATGGATTTTCTCTATGGATTTTGGCCCCGTCTGAACTACTCAGAAGTTTCACAGATTTTTTGTCTGTTTCAATACATTTGGACTGAGACTAAAGCAGACAATAAGTATCTGTGCTTAACCTTACATTCTAAAGCTGCCTGCAAGATTTATTCCAATTGCATCTTCTGGACTTACTGGATTCATGGCAGAAGTGGATTTTCTTGCATTATGAAAAGACTGGCAACCAGGTCTTTAATTTAGGAGAGTTTGAGTTGAGACCTCAGTCAAGAGTTTAGTGTGTTGCTGCCAAAGAACTGTATATTGATGTACTGGTCACACATGTTTTTGTCCTTGGGACTTGACATGATCTGTTCCATTGTCTTGAGGAAGGTAATTATTATTGCTAAGTGGTTGACTTTAATTCTCCTCTGTGTGTTGTGTGTTGGATGGTTCACCCATGTATTTATGCTCTGTCACATCAAGTCTAACTTCCATGAAGCTAAGGGGTTAGGGATGTATTTTAGTTGGATGGGTAAGGTATTCCTCTTTGCCATGAGCTGTATTTGGAAAGGAATAGCAGGTTATAACCTTTCAAACAATAATTTCCAGGGTTAAAAGTGATTCAGGTCCAACAGCTTTGCCCTGCAGGAAATCTCACATTGTGCTTCAATTTTAATGAACATGATGGATAAAAACTGATTTATTCCAATCCTTCCTTAGCCCCAACCATTTTGTTAGCTGGTGCTGAGATCTTGTTTGGATTTATGTGCATTTTCTAAACCTTCTGTTGTGTTAGAGGAATCATCTGGTTTTGCCTTAACTCCACAACTGTATATCATTGTAGCTCCTATGTTTAACAACTAGGAAATCCAAATTGCAGCTACCTAACTTGGTACAAAAGCTGTTAGGCTTTTTTTGTTTTGGTTTGGTACAGATCATAATGAGTTCATTAATTTATTTATTATATCATTGTTACGTAATAAATGTGAATATATGTTAGCTGAATTTTGGACCTTTGGATTTTGGAGGTCACGTCATGCTATTTTTTTAATGGATCTAATTCTTATATGCAAAATGGAAGCTTTTGGGATTCACAGAAACTGTCCTGGGAGGCAGAGAAACTGCCCTGAGTGATTCTGGCAGAATCCTAGAGGTAATCAGAGAAATTAACCTATGCACTTGATTTTAAAAAAGAACAAGATTCAGGCAGAATTTTTGGCCTCACCAAAGTTAGTGTTAAGAATCACATTGATTCCAAAGGATTTGGGATGAAACCTGTGCTTTAGGTTCTGCCATCAGCATTAAACTCCAGTGCCACCCTACTGAATATTAAACAGTGATTTCCACATCAGCTGCTAATGAAACCTCCATCCCTCGTGCCCAAAATATACACTGAGTTGTGAATTGGTGCCTTGCATAGCATGAAGGAAAAGGTTCTAAATTAAAAATTACTATATACTTGAAAATATCTCTGGATGGAAGCACAGGCAGCAACTTGGGACCTTCCCTAAAAGCCACTTTTGGCTGGAATTTGCTGCTTTAGGGGATGTGTGTCCAGTTTGTTCCCCTGTTGGCCAAGTGCAGTGTGTCATGTTGCTCAAAGTGCTGTAATGGATCTTTCACTTGATCAATCATAGAATCTATTGGGTTGGAAAAGACCTCCAAGATCATCGAATCCAACCCTCCCGTGGTCACCAGACCATGGCACTGAGTGCCACATCCAGTCTCAGCTTGAAAACCTCCAGGGATGGGGAATCCACCACCTCCCTGGGCAGCACATTCCAATGCCTGAGCACTCTCTCTGGAAAAAATCTCTTCTAATATCCAACCTAACCCTCCCCTGGCAGAGCTTGAGTCTGTGCCCTCTTATGGTTATTTCATTTCAAACCTCATGCTTGGCTGGTTGATGCTCCAGATAAAAATGTCAGGGAATCAGTGCATTGTGCCCAAATTCCTGATTGTCCTGCTCCCACCAGGCAGGAGTTTTGGGGGAGATGTGGGTATGTTTCCACCCCTATGAGATAAATCAGATGAGAAGGAGATTTGTTAGCCACACCATTGGTTTGGCACTGAACACTGCAGTTTGGGAGGAAGTGGAATAACATGGCAAGAAGGTGATTGATTTGCATCACTGCAAAGTAGGAGCAGCTTCTTATGACCAATCAAAGTGTTTTACTGCTGTACCCCCAAAATGTGTGTATATATGTATATCTAACCCCCCTGGGACTGCAGCACATAACATGCATGATATTCTGCAGAGGTTATCTGTCCTAAGAGTTGGTTTCAGAGGGAAACATCAGCATTTTGTATGAAATTGGTCAAATCTGCAATCTCACCCGTTGGTATCTGTGTCATGTAAAAAAAATTTTGCTCCACAGGCAGCAGAGAAATGGCATTAAAGGTGTCACTCTACTTTCAGAATGATCAGCTGTATCTACCTTCTTTAATTTGTAAACATATGATCTTTCCAAGCCTTTAGCTTGAACTACCTTCATATAGTGTTGATTTCCCCCAGGCAAAACATTTCTGATTGCTTCAGAGTCATTACCAGTTGTTTAAACTTGAGCTAGAGAGACTGGGAAGTTATTCAATTAAGGAGCTTGCATTTTGAGGGAA